TTGACTGAGCAAAGATCATGATTGCAGAAAATCCTCGTGGGGGATAAACGTTTGTAATTTCCGATAATTATGCATTGTTCATCGGGTCCATTGAAGTGAGAAGTTATTTCACGGCAATTGACAAAGCATTAACCACGACAGAATGAATAGGATCAATTGTTAACTCTCTGCTGACTTAGGGCATGAATTCTCTACTGGGAATTTATGGAGAATCGAAACATGGTAATGATAGACTCGGAGTTAATTGCGGAGACCTTCATGCTTGGTGAGATGAACAATGCAGGAGGACGCGAGTTATAAACAATGGAAGGTATAATCGAGGCTATTGATCAGGGGATAGGGCACTAATAACGGCTTGGGAAATCATTTTCTTGATAATTATTTCGGCATGAACGAAATTCAGCTGTTGAGTAGTAAACATGGGATCTTTAATCGTTGATAAGGAAGTTATCTCGGAAATGAGTGACTGAAAGAGAAAACTTCGGAAGTTATTTCCCACAGGAACACTTCTTCCATGATTCCATCTAGAATCGCTTCATCAAGACATAAATTCTCGAGAGGAGTGAAATGAGTTACTAAAGCAACTACAAAATTTTCATCAATTCGGTGATTATCTGCAAAATAAATAGTCGGATGAAAAATTTTTGATAACTTTTCTGAATTAAATAATGGGCATATTGTGTTCGATTTTGAACGTTGTAGAGTTGTAAATTTCACAAATCTGATTAGCTGTTTATTATGATGAGAGGGGAATTTTGGGAGAGGCAAATGTTCAGTGTGAGGAGACTGCACTGTTAAAAATTTCTTGAAATTTCAGTCACAGCGTCATCTGAATTTCCAATGTTGTGAGTTTGACTTCAATTTTAAATGAAAGCGTTCACGAAATTTCTCATTCATCTTGAAAATTGAGCATCACATGCAATTCAGTTTTCAATAGATTGAGAATTCAGAAAAGTTTTTGTCTGAATTTTCAAAATTTTCAATGTTTTTCAGTGCCGTATGGACCTGAACATCGGAAATTACTGGAATATTCAAGAAATTACTCGAACTGACTCGTCTATAAAGAAATATACAGAACTTTCATGTAACTTTGTTGTTGTTAAAAATTTCACGCTTTTTCACTTGAAATTTCAAGAGTAATTTTCTAACAGTGTAGGAGATGTGGAGACTTGGAATAATCACTCACGTTAATGACATTTACCTGCGATATTTATTCTATAATCATTTAGATAGTGGTACAAATTGATGAGAATAGTGTACCTCTGACGATGTGTTGAGATGTTGAGATTTTGTTCCATACTGATTTGTAAAGTATAACTTTGAGGACTTTAAGTTGGGAATTCTCAAGTACTCAACATTTTCTGTATAAAATTTTCTAAAATAAAAAGCAAATTTTGGATGATTTCTTCTAGCTTCACTCATCACCAAGATGATTTGGAAATGAACAAAATAAAGTATGTTGGTATACGCTGTTAGAAAAAAAAATGAAATTTCATGAACAGTTGACTACTAATTTTCAGGAGAGTGATACTGAATGCGATTTAGGAGAAAAAAATCATCAAATTTCAGGTTTCACTGAAAATTCAGTACAATTCCAGAATTTAAAGTAGTATGAAGATGAGAATTCCTTAATTTGTTTGAATTTCCAATCTCATATGAATATTCAGTGCCAAATTACATTGAATTTTCAGTGGAATCTGAAATTTCATGATTTTTCCCTCTATATCGCATTCAGTGTCACTGTCCTGAAAATTCAAGAATATATTTACCGGAATTTTCGGGTTTTCTACTCATTGTCAGGGAAAAATGGAACTGAAATTTCCAGTTCTTTTAGATTTTTCCACGAAATTCCTTGAAATTTCAGTAACAATTAAATTCGATAAAAATTTCCAAAAAGTGTACCGGAAAGTGCAGACAAAAATTTTTACCAGTGTAGTCATATCAAATCTTGCACCATCGCTTTTTGATTATATGATCATCTCACAATCAAATGTGAACAGTCTTATGGAAGAACGTTGAAAGACTTGTTTTGGTTTTAAGTAAAAACTTTTCCGCGAAGAGTCTCACTTCCTCGAACCAACTTCCCAACAAGATTGGAGAAATGTCAGCTACTCATCCATGACAGATAATAGTTTCGCACAGAAGTACATAGTAAAGTGGTGAACCGACGCAACTCGTAATAAATAAAAGTAATAAATAAAAATATATGTATAATCGATGGTATTGATCGATGTATGTGGCACTGGTAACAGCTTGGGGAATTTTTATGTTGGTAATAATTTAGTTGGCGAGGCATATAAAAAAATATTCCACTCCCACCAGTAAATATTGTCGTTGCGATAAACGATTTATGATGAAATATTGGACGATGGTGTATAAAAGTTTGTTAGACAGGTTTATGCGTTTGCAGTGGTATTGCAGAGTCCACAATGATGAAAAAACTTTGAGAAACATTGAAACTCTGAATGTGAGACTCGAATGAAGCTCACGACGGCATAAAAATGATGAAAAAGGGTTGTAAAATTTGAAAGTGAATCACTCAACGTTTCAATTACAAATCCAATCAGTGATGAATGGAGTGACATCTAATTGGATTTACTCTGTGAAGTTTTTCTGGGATAAATGTGCGCAATGTATTACTATGCCAGTAAGCTGACTGCTGCAGCATTAAGTGCGGGCTTGAGAGTTAGCGATTCGAGTAACTCGGGGTCTAGTATCGTATGCAGTTGTCAGGAAGTTAAGAATGGTGGTGAATGCATTGGAAGGTCTTCACCAAGCTCGTTCAGACCGCTGGTCAATTTTACGGCACAGACTTTATCGGGTAATACGTCGCAGAAAATTCATTCACGATTAGCGAGAGTGAGTGGAAGTGGAGCGACCGGGGGAATTAGTTCGACAGGGCCTGGCAATATTTTTGTTACTGCTAATGTTGAACATCCACGTAACACTGGGTATCATCGACATCGAACAAAGCAGAAGGTAAGGATTTAGTACTAATGAAAAAAATTGATTAAATTCAATACTAAATTTTCACGGGTCATTCAATTATCCAAGTGGTGACCGACTTTTTTTAATTGTCAGAATATCTTTCTCGTTGATCATTAAATTTGTTTGCAAAAGAGGTCGATCGATGATTCCATCTAATATTGATCATTATCCAGCTATTTTTATAATGAACTAACCGAGTTATGAAAACCCAAATGGGAAATCATGTAAAATATAATTATCTGCAAAATACGTAATGTTACAAACAAAATGTCAAGAGACGTTATTTGTGAATTATAAATTGCCCTGCAAAGAAAAACACAATGTTGATGTACAAATACATTAATATCAGGATGAAAAGTTGTATCAATTCAAACAATTTGAATAAATCTCCCAGACTTGATCTTGCGAAATAATTGTTGCTTTTGATGGCGGAAAATTAAACCAAACTACTCGTTTATAAAACCCCCAAGGTATCCCTTGAATCGATACTCCCGGAATAAATAAATTGGACATACCACAAAGAATTAACTGCTAAGAAATGAACAAGAGAACTCGGATGTTATTTCCACTCTCAACATTATCCTCGGAAATCTCGTTCAAGATTTTAATCAAAACTCTGGCTTAGTCTCGAGGCTTCTGGAGGCGAGGGAAAGTTACGATAGCATAGGAGTAAAGACGAAATCAATACAGAAGGCTGATGAGTCATTGACTCAACCACTTTGTTAGCATTGTGCTAGTCAGCACGAAGCCCGATCCTGCTTCATGTAATTGTGTAGGACTCACGAGCACTCCCCACAGTGTACGCCCGCTACAAATCCCCACTGAAAATGCATCAAACTATACGTGGATACAAAATTATTCTGAGTAATTGGATAGCAAATACAAACTAACAAAATGAGTTTAATTCTCGTCTCGATTAACATCATCATTTTTAAGTTTCGTAACGTATGAAACTTCTCATTTTACGGAGATCGTACATGAACTCAATTCTAAAGTTCAGTAAACACGTTTTCAAAGGCAAGTTCGCTTATGAATATTAGAGGAGGAGGTACACAAAAAAACCTTATGTTGTAGCGAAATGATTATACTGCAGAAAGAAGCTAGAGTGGTTTCACTGCGCTCATAATCATTCATTAGGGGCTGAGCTTCGAGCTTTTTTTCTTGTTCTTGTTATTAATATCCGCTTTTGTAATATGCTTTCTTGGTTCTTGCGAGGTGAGGTCACCTTTGACCTCACCTCAACTATTTTTTAATCTTCGATATCTGGCGCTTCTAGTCTGTAGCGAGGTGGTGATGGAATTTTGAATTATTTTATCAATATACCTAAAGCTAGCGGGTTTGGAGTCAATGACCGTTGATGTCAAGAGACCTTTCTCTGAACTTCTATCTCTCGACGGTACACTGTTAAAAATTTTCGTCTGAATTTCCCGTGCTAAATTCCGGAAATTTTTATCATGTTCAAGTTCCACTGAAATTTCAGAAAATCTTATCATCGAAAAATCAAATATTCCATTGATTTTCTGTTCAAATGATCTAAAGATCAATAAAATACTTGATTTTTCAGTTCAATTATTCTATAAAAATTCGGAAAAATCAGGAAAATTAAGGGAAAAATGAAAAATTCAATCAAGTTGTGACATTTCCATCTTACTCCGACTTAAAACTCATGAATTTATTTGAATTCTACCTAAAACTAGAAATTTCATAATCGTTTTTCCCCTAATTCCGATTCAATGTTACTCTTATGAGAGTTACTATCATATTTTCCATGAAATTTCAAAAAAAATTTAACAGTGTATAATAGTTTGGAGAATCATAAAATGAGACGGCAAATGTTTTCGAACTCAGCGGATTGACAAACAATTTATTGCAAAATATGCTTGCAAAATAATGTAAGAATTCCCTTGGAATTTTCATCTCTTCACCACTTCACGACTGAATTCCGTGACACAGGGCACTGACAATTATTTGTTGTGGTCTGAATAAAGCAAATGGTTTTTTCTCTGTTCTAGAATTTATCCCAGACGTCAGGAGGTAATGTACGAGGCCCAGGCTTTAGCAGCAGTGCCAATATTTGTAGTAGTACAACAAGTATGGTTAACGGAGCCAACTTAGAGAGTCAGGACATTCGAGATAATGTTGGCGATAGAGAACACGTGAGTTTAAAACTTCTATGAATAATTTAAATTTGAGATGAAAATTTAATTTAGGGGATAGCAACAGTTTTGCGCATTCTGCACCATTGGAGAATTACTTGCTTTTTTCAGACTCATTCTGACTGTTCAATATTACCTTTTCTTTCAAAGTTTTTTCATACTTTAGTGGAGAGATGATGATAATGTTTCGATGCAATGACGTGTCGTACTTAGAAGAGTATGAGAAAAAGAGTTCAAATTATTTCGGCATTCAGCACCGTTCGCCTGGGGCTTTTCATTTCGCCTACCCTCAGCAAAAATTGCTCGGGAATCATCTATGTGCTTGCGTTTGATGCTATAAATCACGGTGACAAATGAATCCCATATAATTCTTGATGGAATTGACGCTTCATGTTCGGCATATATTCCATTTTGGGGTTTAAAAATCACCTTATTTCTTAAAGAGTCACCTGCATGATTATTTAAAAACAAGATAAAATGCCGGTGAACTGATTTCCTTAAATCATCGCCATTAATTACATAATAATAATTCGATACAATTTTTAGCCTCCAATTCTCAATTCCTGCCATTTATTCTCATTGAAATTGGATCATAAAATTCCAAAATATTCATATCCCGCCCATATTCGAATAAAAAACAGTGATTCCAAGTTTCCACTGACACAAATGAAGAAAAACAAATTTTCTCCATTTTTCTCTGATCATCACATTTAAAAATTTTTTAGTCTCCAATTCGTGATTTTTGGAATTCATTGGCATTTATGTAATGCTATTCATTCTATCAAAAGACAAGGATTCGAAATCGAATTTATGGGTATTCTTTCATCATTCAAAAAAAAAATAGATTTAAAAATTTTCCGGAGACATTGAAAAATTAATTTTTTAGTTCTTCCCGCCCACTTTTTTTGTATTTTTTAAATTGTTTCTCACTGAAATATTGATATCCTTCTAATACTTGAAGAAAAAAAGTGATTCAAAGTTCCTACCGACATAAAAGAAGAAATAAAATCCATTTTCTAGTCGATTATCCTTTTCTGATTCTTTTTTCATTTCCTTTTCATAATAATAATAATTGGAATCCGATCATAGGAACAAGGAGTATATTGTAAAAGGAGTATATCCTGTTACAATATGAAGAGAAAAATAGATTTAAAAATTTTTTAGGAATACATAGAGAAATTTTTCTAATACCCGAATGAGATTTCAAATGAATTGTTTAGTGTGTTTGTTTTGACCACAAAAACATCACTTTATTGATCTTTAACATAATTGCTTTTCATTCAATGTTGTAATTGGTGAATTAAGGGAAAAATATGTATATTATAAGAATAAGAATAAATAAAATTAAATTGATCTAATTGTGAAGACGGAAATGGAAATAAAATAAAATAAAATAGTATAAATTAATCGTTCGCTAGTGAGTAAAAAAGTCTATCTGAGAAATGTGGAGGACTTTTATCATGATTTTCAGTGTTTAAGTAATTATTAAAGTTGTATCTAATACACCAGGTTATATGCAGCGACGGTTGCTTTGGCCGAGAGGTTACTCACTTTATATTTGAGTGACGCCATGATTTTGAAATGAAGTCGATTTCACGTGATTTCAGTGATTTCAAGCGTCACGCGAGATGATTTCATTAATTGATTTCGAGTTTTAATTGATTCGAATGATTTCATTCATTTGAAATCAATAATTTCGGAGGAAATGAAGTCATCGAAATCACGATGGGTAAAGTTAAAATAAATAAAAGAAATGAGGCACAAGGGGTCGTTTCACATTTTGAAAATCAAAGCTCGCAGGAATAGCTTGCAAATAATAGCGAATTCTTGAGCGATTGACGATGAAAAGCGGTCCATTATACCTCACTCTCTGCTAAAGGTTCACAAATAACAATCAATTTCTGAACTTTATATTAGAAAAACATTACATGCTTGATTTTACCCATAGATTATTATTATTTTAACGCATTTGTTTAGAAATAGTTTTTAACGTGTTCAAAAATATTCTAAGGAAGCTTCAAATCTCTACCCCCACTTATTAGAGGGGGAGAAATTGTTCCTCTGTATGCGCTAGTAATTGCATGTTTCTGTTTCACTGATTTCGTTGGATTTAATTGATTTCAATAATTTCCCGTAATTTCGAATTGATATCATGCTAGAGTGGCGCCATGATTTCGTTAGTGAGTAGCTCCTCAGCTTTGGCCTCTTTCGAAAACGGTTCTGACGAAGTTTTTAAAAAACTAATCCGTGATCGATTGATAAATTCCGAATATATATGGTGAATTTTTTGTAAAATTTTGTACTTAGTTTCTGCGATATTCAACTCTAAAAAATGGAAATTTCATGAAACAATGTCCTATTTGATTCAAACAGTTATTGTTGCCTGCATCAATAACATATGAGCATAGAAACACCAATAGCTTACGAGAATGCGATAAATTAAGTCATTTAGAATTTTCTCCGGAAATCCATAGGGACTAACTATTGGGTGTTATTATCTTGGGCTATATCTTAATAATTAGTATGTAAAAACTTCAGTTCGCTACCAATTTTATTTGTTTTTCAAACTCCTACTGCGGAGACGCCTCAATCACATGTAGTATAGCTCTCGCCAAAAAAGAATGATCGTGGATGGGTACCCCCTCTCTCTCGAAATTAGTTCCGACTCAGCGTCCCCCACCACTCAGATCCCAGATCATTCTTTCCTGGCGGAGACGATATGAGGATTAATTTTGCTAATTTGGAATACGTGTCTTCCAATTGCCGATTTGATCTACGTTCTTCTAGGGTTTCCTCTTGAGTTAAGTCTTTGTCACTAAGGCACGTCGATAAATAAACTAAGTGTCGGACATAAATAGTTGGCTTCCAATATCTAGAAGCACTAGAAATTTGATATAATTCCGCCGAGATTACATACACTACACCTGATTGGATTTTAAAAAAATTCTCATTGAGAGAACAGTCAAAAATCTTCACCTTATTTCGGAAAATATCAAGGTCTGAGTAACCGTTTGTATTTTTGAATCAGTTCTTTACAATAGAATAACAAATGAACATTTTCCATCATCCGCGATAATTCTGTTTACTACAATTTTTTAACTTTAACACCTAGTGAAGTGAGTTCATGATTATCCTAACAGTTGACGTCAACTTTAGTTCAAACTTAGCTTAGTTGCAGTAGTTAACTTTAGCTTTCCGAACGGGGCGTTCAAACTCTTGAATTATGTTCTTTGGAAGAAATTGTTCAAGCTGTGAAAACTAAAATCTTCCCTTTTTTTATTTTTATTTATTCTAGGCGCTCGTATATCGCGATGGAAACCTTGTTTCTGGGTCACTGGAGGCTTTGGTGCAACACATGGTACCTACCGAAGAGTATTATCCTGATAGAGCATATCTTTTTGCTTTTCTACTGAGCTCACGTCTATTTATTAAGCCCCATGAATTACTCAGCGAGGTATGCGCTTTGTGTGAACATCAACAAAAACTAGGGGGAGAGGGGGGAAAGGTAAGTCTATGTCTATGGAGCGCTTTATTCTAGAGTTAATAGTAGACTCAATAAACTAACTTTCATATTACATTTTTGTTAATTCCCTGTTTATCTGCAAAATGGGGGCTCGAGTAAAAAAATCCGAGACAATTTCTTTGTTGTGGAGATGGTCATCTGCAGAACATATTTCACGATAATTTTCCCAAATGCCATTCATCACCGAGCTAATTTGGACGATTAATCATTCACATCAACTAAGATAAACATAAAACTCATTAGTCTGCTGATTGTGCAGAAGAAGGGCGATGAACTTTAGGAGAAAATGTTAAGGATTATGTTTGTAGAGAAGAACACTCCCCATGAAAGAAAAAATCTTAAAAGTAGCATCTTTGTCTAAGATCAGTTGTTATTAATTGTCAATTATCATATGTTGGTGATAGAATTCGGTTGAAGATTTATAGGTCAACAATTGAAAGATAACCATTCAAAACAACAAAAATGTTCATACCAATGAGAACTGATTTTCTACATCCGTGATCCCCTTACTTTATAGGTACTGAATTCTGTTGGTAATTCCTAATTTTTTAATTAGTTAAAATCAAATTAGTACGTTCTTAATGGAAGAAATTCCGTATAAATTTTATTCGGTCAAATATTTCAACAATTTATAATCGGTGACGATAAATGCTATTGACACAGATCGTTAAATCACTAAATTCCAAACAAAAAAGTTCAATTTTACGCTAAATCGACTATCTAATTACAAGAAATATATTTAATGTCAGGAACGCCTTCAACGATTTGTGCCACGACTAGTTCAGCTACTCGCTGAATGGACTGAAACATTTCCATATGATTTTCGAGATGAGAGAGTGATGGCTCATGTGAAATCTATCACGCAGAAAGTTGCCAGTGTAGATGCTACGGCTCGCCAAGAGGTATCTGCATTGTTACAAAATCTATTATTACGCCTAACAGCATTGGAGAGGTATGAAGAGGGTCTCGCTAGGCTGGCTACCGAGTCTGGCGCCCAGCAACTGAGTCAGGTACGATCATGATTTTTTTAAAGAACAAGATTTGCTTTTCATTGAGGACTGTCCCTCTTTCCCCTGTACTTCCATTCACTTGCATTCGGGATGAAAAGTCTACGCCTCTCGCTTTGAATAGGCGGAGTTCAATAAAGAGCCTTGTTTTTGACCGATCTTTCGATTTTCTAATTTTAATTTAAAATGGTCTAGAATGTTATGAAACGCGAAGAAATTATGTTTTTAAGGCCATGTCTGTATGTATGTATCCGATAACTTGGGTTTTTGGTGATTCATTTTTTGAAAATTCAACATAAATACGGTGAAATTGGTAGATAAAAATTTGAAATTTCGGCTCATAGTTATTATTGAGTCCAGCTTTGGCGCGCTATTTCAGCCCGATCGGTCCAGTAGTTTCTGAGATTTAACAACTTGTTTAAATTTCGTTTTTTCTCAATATCTTGAAAACTACTACACCGATTTCATAATTTTGTTCTCAAAATACTCGTCTCGATGGCCTCTATGTAGGTCAAACAGAATATGTAGACTCTTTAATACACAGTTTGGAGATATTGCCGTTTTTCCGTTTTTCATGAAAAATTTTGTACGCACGATAACTTGAGAAAAAATGGGGATGGCAAGTTGAAATTTGATACGATTATAGCTCTTACAATACTGAAGGTTGGTATTTTGGATAGACGCAGCCGGCCGAAGCAGTCTCGGAGATATTTGACCTTTTGTATAAATCTTTTTCATTAAAAGGTTGAATATTTTCCTGTAGACACCTTGTAGCATGTGGTTACGGTTGTATGCCTGTCACAAGCTTAGTACCAATGGAATTGGTAGAAAAAAAAAAGAAATAGACTAATAACGCAAAAAGTAACAGTCACATGACTTCTGTCGGATAAGCTCGAGCCCCTGCTTGTTTTAATGACGTAAACTCAGCTTAAAGACGAACAATTAAGAAGAAAAACTCATTTAATATTTACTGACTGTAAATTACGGACCGAGAAGACCGTAGCTATTGAATATTTCAATTATAAATTCCGTACAAATGTATACATTCAATATCAATCTGTACAGGGAAGCGCCTCGCATTCATTATTCATTATGATTGCTGTAATTCTCAGTATTTTGAAGAAGGATAAAATCTGAGACTTAGCGTTCATGTCACTATCCTTGTGAGTAACCTATCGTGGTGATGGATGAAACCAATAGGTCCAGTGGTATGGCATAGACCCCGTACCTAGCTAGATGATGTGATAGGTGTTGTATTATGGAAATGATTTTAGTCTTTACAATGTTGGGTTAGCTTCATTGGTTGTTTCATACAGAAATATTGAGGGTGAAAGGGTAGCATATAGCATCCCTCCTTCATAGTATGTATAAATATGTATGACTGTATTATGGCCGAATAATCGATTAATCCTAATTGGTCACCATATGAGGGAAACTCCGCCACGCGTCGTTTTTCTTTAATTACAATTGACTGGCTAACCGGAAAAAATCGAAAAAATTTGACTTTATCAATTGAAGTGTCAAAAAAATTATAGTAGTTTTTAGAACAACATATTTCCCGAAATTCCTAAAGAAAACAAATTATTTCGAACACATGAGTTAGTTTTTCCCATCTTTAAATGAAATTGCCCGTCACGCGACGTTGCCGGAAATTCGCAAAACGCGCCCGGGCAGTGTAGAGTGAATTCGGCAACGCTAGAGCCTAAATAACAGGGCGGGGAATCCCCACGGAGGTGACCATAGTCGCAGAGTCGCATTTGGTGACCAGACTAGGGTTAATAATAAATTAAACGGTTGAGCAGAAATTTGCAGTATGTTGCAAAAAATTCAAAGTGCTTATGATTCAGAATGATTTTAAAAACCCATTTTTAGTTCATACATTTATTTGTTGTCATTCATATTTCATTCCTACCGGAATTACGGTTTTATAAGCGTTTACTTCGTTTGCCGTGCCTCTTCTATTCTATCCGTTTCATTTATACACCCCTATTTGCGGTTCCATGGGCCAGATTTTCTCGCCCCACTGCGCCGCATTCGCACTAAAATATTGACATATTATAGGATGGATAGGGAAACCCTGGCAAACCTGAGTGGCACAGCCCGACTGATGGTGCAGCGCCCTAATGTATCATTCTGTCACGCCCTGATTAGAGGGGAACATTTTGTGTCTACATCGTGCCTATCGCACTGACAAAAACAACGTTTTTTGAGAAGTACATCTTTACTTATATCAAGAAACGTGGCTTGAAAATTTTCAAGAGCAAAATATCTTGCACTAAAAAAAAACTTTCGTCAAGAAATTTCGTACTTGTCCTAAAGACGAGGACAATTGCTTGATGACAACAAAGCGATTTCTCAAACCAAGTAAAATTTAATTCATTCATTTAAAAATTTTTTAGCTTCAATTCTAAAATATTTTAATGCAAAAACCACTTGAATTGATTTGTGAACTTGTTTTCTTGATATCAACCAATTGCTGTCATCTTCCGGACAAGTATAAAATTTCTTGGCTTAAGATTTTTTTTCTTAGTGTAAGATATTGTGCTCCTTGTACTTTTTGAACCATGAATTTCTTGATACACGTAAAGACGTATTCCTCAGATAGTATATTTTGTCATTAGGCCGAAATAGTATTTTCGGCGTAAGGTCGAAAAAAACTTTTCAGACGCGTGTGAGGGTTGCACATCGAGGCGAAGCCGAGGGATGCATTCAGTCGAGCCAGAATAGTATATTTCGTCACTAGGCTCCGCTTCGCTCCGCGTCCGTGAATCTCTGCCTACGGCCGTCATGACAAAAAAACTTTTCTGGCGAATATGAGTTTGCAGTCATAACTATATTTTTTGTCATAATGGCTGTCTTACGGCCGGAGTGACAAAAAAAACTCTCGTCTTCTCAAGTTCTGCGGGTTCAGTCATTTTTTTAGGAGTGGTGTTCCTAAGTGGTCACCCATCCCAGTCAGGTTTATTTTTAGTTTATAATAGTTCATCCATTTCCCAAAAATATGATTTTTTCATTTTCGAGGAAAATTCTGTAATTTTGCAGACTGATGTTGGGGGCACATATGAAACCAAAATTGCTGATACTAACACAAGGGCGCGCGCCTCGAGCGCGCACGAAATACAGGTGACTCAAGATAAGCTAATGTTTATTCATTGTCCATATGGTTTTTAAAAATAATCAATCTTTTTCAATAATGAAGGACATAACAGAACGTGGCGAAGGAATGGTAAGATTGTGTCATATTTGTCTTGCTTTAACCTCCGTTCTGTTTTTATGTTTATAGTATATCTTAGCTATGAACCTACATAGATGAGTAGGAAAATAGATATTGATTGATGGAACAAAGTAGAACGTTTATCATTAACTCAAAATTCTAATATTTCGGTTTATAAACAAAGATATCAAGAATTAAATTTTTTTTTTAATTCATATTTCTTTCCTACTACATTACGGTTTTATAGGCTCCCCATTCATCTGCCTTGCCTCTCCCACTTCTCTCTTCTGATTTTTTCTGCGTTACAGTAGAGTCTCCCTATTATTTTGACCTTGGGACTGAGAATTCGGCGTACTGAAACGGCCTGGAACCCCCCACTTTTCCGTGGAGGGCGTGACTTGAGATGAGAGAAACAGAGGGAGAGTGGAATCTGTCTGTTTCACTTTTCCTGTTGTGGGAGCAACCATAATCTCAACCTGTCGAATGAAATGAAATCCAGAGGGTGAAATGATTAGAATGGCTCTTTTGTGTGTTTAATTGTTTTTATTATCAAACACCACAGTGCTCTATCCACCAAGATGTTCACTGGTTTCACCAATCTTTTTCTTGATTAAGGAAAAACATTTTCGAGCTCGTTTTTCCATTTCTCGAGTTTGTCTTTTTGTTTCACCGACGACTTCACAGTAGCCTCGTGAACGTTGAGATTTTCAGCAATTGCTGAAACTGGAGTCCCACTTGTTACCTCGTCTCCGGCTTTTATTTTAATGTGTAACTCCACTAAAACTGGAGATTTCCTTTTCAAATTTGTTTTCACCGGGAACATGTTGAGGTTATAAACGACAAAACACGAAGCTATACATAACACATGACTGGTGGCACCGACGAGTCCCACTGCGCGTTCCCGTCGCGCAGCGGGACACCCCACACAGGCACTTACCACTACACGTGAACGGACTCAGTGATAGGGGAAGGCAACTTCTCCAACTAAAATCATAGGGAGTAAGAACAATAGGGAGACTCTACTGTACCATGGGCCGTCTTAGTCTTAACTGTACCCCATTCTGGCTAGGACTGTAAGGGAACCCATGGAAAACCCCAGTCGTACAGCCGGCCGATTGTGCAGAGCCCTAATGTGCCCTTCTGTCACACTGACTAGAGAGGCACATTAGGCCACTGCATCGTGCCTACCTTCCGAAATTTTTGAGCGAGGGTGTTCCTAAACGGTCACCCATCCAAGTACTAACCGCGCTAAACACAGCTGCACTCGGATGTCCGCCGGAGCAACACCTATACTAACTCACCCAATCATTACCGTCGGTCATCAATAATTAAATTGTATTAAACAATAACCAGTAAAGAAAAAAATCAGATACCAGCACAGTAGAAATCAGTCGAAAATCCGGTAAAAAATCATTGCCCCTTTGACGAAAATTTTCTATAAATAAAATTTCTCAGAGCCATAGTATGTAATCCCATGGACTAGTAATATTCTCTGTGGCACGGGGATATTTCATCGATTTCCTTGTGCAGAGTCGGGGCGTGAAATGTCTCATTCATTTTATCGTATCGAACAGAAAATTTTTCTAAGAGAAATGAGTAGGCGTTCCAAGTTCAAATCCACGTCGTCCTCCTCTTTAAAATTTCAATGCATATGTATATAATTCAACAATATAATAATAATTTTCAGAACCGAAAATAAGCAGGGCATCGAACCTCTCCGACAGACGTCATTTTACCATTACTTTATGCATTAATTGCCGTTCTTTTTTTATTTCTACCAATTTTATTGGTAATAAGCTTCCGAATGGATCTGTAGCAATTCCTTATCCTTGTGACAGGTATATATTATTACCACAATATACCACACAATATTTGCGTGGAGATGTTATAACTTGACTTGATAGATATTATTATAAGGAATAATTTGACGTTAAAAAAATTCAATTCAGTCGTGTAGTTTTTGAAATATTGAGGAAAAAGAATTTTTTAGAAATCCCTAGCTGTATCTCAAAAACTACTTGACCAATTGGGCTGCAATGTCGCCGAGAAATAACAGTAATTTAATTACGGGACAAAATTTCAGCTTTTTCGCGTCAACTTTACTTCTTTATTTGTGAAGATTTATAAAAAATTTCTGAAAAATCCGCACATACATATGGAAAAACACAATTTCTAAAAACATCATATCTTCAGGTTTCATAATATTCTACGTCATTTTAAAGCAAAATTAAAAGATCGCCCAAATCAATGATTGCAAAGCTTCCTTTCAGAGGCAAAAAAGGGAAATGAATATTTTTTTAAATATAAATATTGAAAAAATACATAAAATATATAATATATGAATCAAAATTTTTGAATGAAAATAACAGCGGAATTGATTGATGACAAAAAACTTGACTTTTTTTTAAAAGAGGAATTGCGAAAAATTGCAATGCAATTTGACGGAGTGAAATGAACGAATATTTTTTACGCACAGATTCTTATAGGATTCATTTTCAAATTCAGTAGCGAAGTGGTAAAACGGTTTAAGTCAACTCATCTCCCAGTGGAGTTTTTGAGGAATATTTCCGAATCTAAAGGAGATGGCGAAATATTCGTAATTACATTTGTTGTAGCTCTCAATCGGCTCTACAAAAAAGGTCGTAACAAAAATTATGCTATCTCCCTTAAATTCCGAGATATTCATTGAAAACTGATCAATAGTCAAAATTAACTTGTACCGTTTTACACTTCGCTCCTGAGTTGATAATACACGTACTGGAAGACTCAAAAAATGAACACGTTGACTCTAATGGTCAAGGGGGCAGCGGGGTACCCATAAGGCAAATGATGCAGATATTTCATGCTAATACTTACATTCATTGCATATTATTCATTTTATTTTTGGATAATCAACTTCATTCGGTGCATTAAAATTTTCATCGATATGGAGGAGATAACTCTATTAGTTATTAAAAATCCCCCGAGGGAAAACCAAAATTTAATATAATTATTACAAATCAATCTTATGCATTATTTACATTATTATAATTTTGTTTTCGGTTAATTTTCCATCGTGGATTAGTTTTCATTCGTTGTTTGGTTCTCGAATTTGGTTCGTTTAATGTTTTGTTTTTTTTTTCAATTCAATTATTTATTATTATTATCATTATTCAAATATATTATTTATATTTGTTATTCACAATATTACTTTCATTTCTTTTTTTTCATATATATAACAACCCCGTAGCTGTCATTACAAATCTTCATCATAATTATTATTTTCATTAACAATCTCGCAAGGCAAGACAATTGAAAGACGGAAAAAAATTACAATTAAGTTGAAAATACAAGTCATTTAAAAGCACACTACTCGTCCACGTTTAGACTAATAAACAGATTCGCCAGTCTTGAATTAAAGGCATAAAATCACTTTTCTCTGTTCATTTACTCCTCAATGAGTGAATATTACGTATTTCTCTGATTGTTAATGGCAAAGAGTTCCCCAGTTTTGCAACAGAGAGTGAAAAAGAGGTACGACCGTAATTTGTATGAGAATTCGGAATCTTCAGAACAAGATGACTAATCCTATTAGATCTTATCCTATCAGTAGATTTCAGTCGGAGCTTATCAGCTAAATACTTTGGCTTCTTTCCTTTTAGAATTTTGTACCTTATCTTACCAAGAAATAACTGATGCTGGGAATCCGGCATTAGCCATCTTACCTTATCATAGTACACTAATATAGACATCTCTCTTCAAATCGAAGATAAATCTAATGCAAAAGTTCAGTCTGTTTCAATTTGAGATCACTTTCTCTAGAAAATCCTGCTAATAATACACAACCATAATCAACCAATGGAAACATATCTATCTATCAGTTGAAAACAAAATTATGTTTTTTGAGTTCTTGAGATTTTGGATAAACATCCTTACAAAATACTTCAAGAAAGATGTAAAATTGTTTTAAAAAATTTGCCGACTTGGTTTTGCGTTAATGATAATTATGAATTCCGGTGGCTTGGCGCAGTGGGTAAGTTCGTTGCCTCACATGCGAAAGGTTCCGAGTTCAAAACCCGGCCGGGTAGAATGGTGAGATCTAATCATTTAAAGTCTCGATCATCATCACAGCACACCCCAACCGAGTCGAAGCGATGTAAAATAACTATAAAAAAAAATAGCAATAATTATTTCCCAACATTGTAGCAATTTAGTTGCAGATTGAGCTCAACGTATGATTCAATGTAGGACTCCTTACATATTCATGATTATGGCGAATTGTTCAGTGATTTCAAACAATTCAAGAAGAGATAGGAAGCCTTCTTAGACTTTTCATTCCAATGCTAGTAACAGCACTCAGCGCGCATTGCTTTCTGCATCGGCAGTGTAATGGTCTTGAAAAAAAATTGTGAAAGAATAATTTCGTAATGTCGACCTATTAATGTTGAGTAGTGAAACGATGTAGATGATTTTATTGATGTCTCGGCAATAGAAAGGTCTGGAGAATTCCATCAATAATTATTTTTACGGAAGATTTCATGAAATACGAGATTTTTCTTGACGATATTTTTCAAGGTTGTTGTAGAATACCGCATATGAAAATCATCATGATTTGCAAAAAAAGTCCCTCCCTATTTTTCTACAAACTTACAGCATCGAGATATCTACAATATCATGTGTACATAATTTTCAAATTTGTCTCCTTCATTTTTACTTTTTTTTCACGAAATTGATATTTTATTTTGCTTGTCTATAGGTGGATGTAACTGAATTATGCCCTTCAGCAACGATCCTGGCACAGCAATTGACACATGTTGAGCTCGAGAGACTCTCCTATATCGGACCCGAGGAATTTGTTCAAGCATTTGCGAAGGTAAAGAGACTCTTTAACCGTTTTTACACTTCATTGAATCCAAACAAAATTCCCTGGAGAATTTATCGATCTTTTTCTATTCTTTTTCATTCAGGAGTCGCCTCATTTAGAAACATCGTTCAAAGAAATGAAGAAAACTCGGAATCTCGAGTCATACGTACAATGGTTCAATCGACTGAGTTATTTTGTTGCCACAGAAATATGCAAAGTATGTTTTCCTTCAAAACGTATTCAATAAACCCACCGCATTCGTTGATCAACAATAATTATTATTTTTTCTTCATCAGCATGCCAAGAAAAAACAACGGGTTCGTGTAGTAGAATATTGGATCGAAACAGCACGAGAGTGTTTCAACATCGGAAATTTTAATTCACTTATGGCGATAATCGCCGGCCTGAATATGTCATCGATTTCACGATTAAAGAAAACCGTAAGAATTCTTCTTATAAACGATTCGATTTTCTGGTCATAAGTACACAGCAAAGAAGAGGTTTCGAGTTAACCAGAACCAAGCTACTATTTTTAAGGGGAGACTACTATGAGTTTTAAAAGTCGCGAGCGATTGGAGTGAGATTTCTTATGCAATGAAAATCGGTTACATACGTCTAAAAAGGAATAATTAGTGTAAAAAAATTTGTTTGTTGTTTATTGTTCGTTTTCCCCATACACGCTTAAAATGTTAAAAATAGTCCAGAGCCTCCAAATCTTGAGCTACAGAGTTTTTTTCAAATTTTTTGAAAAAATGGGTACAATAACAAATACGAATTAGTAATTAGTAATTTTGTGAAATTCGAATTCTACACAACTAATTTCGATTTGATTAATATAAAAATTTGTGCCATTCATATAAAATAGGCAAAAAATTATCCTTGAAATATTAAAAATATATTCTCGATTCTTTCAGAAATATTTTTTGGGCAAATGAACAATAAACAATCCATTTTTTGCAGTAATTATTCATTTTTAGACATATATAATCGATATTCAATGTATGAGAAATCTCATTCCAATAGCCCGCGACTTTTAAAACTTATAGTAGTCTCCCCTTAAAAATAGTAGCTTGCTTCTGCTTAACTCGAAGTCTTGTTGGGTTCTCAAATCATGAACGATTGGATTCTGAAATGAAAAACCATGGGGTTTTCAAACTAACAACATTCAAAAGGGATAAAACTATGGTATAATTGAACATTAATCAAGTCAAGATGTCAGGTGGTTTTTTTAACAATAAAGAATTTGTAAACATGAGTAGATTAATTTTATAACAGGAAAAAACATTATTTCAAGAACAAGAATGTTTTTAACTTGAGAATCCGGATGTTCGAGAACCCACAAGCTTTTTCATTTCAGAGCCAAGCTTTCCTTAGAATGGGAAAAACCGTGTCTTAATTTAAGTACAATCATACTAGAATTGAGTAAAAATTACTGAGATGTATACATTTTTCTCCTGATTTTCAAAAAAAAACTTTCTTACAATAAGTGTAAATTTCAATTATTTCCATGATTTTTTGCTCGCTAGCTTTTAGTGTAGCAGACTTCTGAAAATCAGAAATTTTTATTTTAAGGCCCGATGCCATTATCTACCGAACGTTATCTAGATTGCCTTTTTGTTCGATTTTTATCTCGAAATGTCAACACGATGCCGCGTCACTCAGAGAGCCCCGAAAATTATGAATTTGGATTTAAAAAAAAAGTGAAAAAAATCTCAACATTTTGAAAGAGCGTTTTTAATTAATATTGAGGAATGAGTTCAATCGAGGCTATATGAATAATGTATAATTATCGTGGAAAAAGACGGCCTGTCAGTCACCACCATGGGGGGACGATCGACGAAATGATAAATCCTTTGGCACAGCGCAACAAGACAATTGTACAAAAAGAAGTTCTTTGAAAAATTTTGTAAAATTTTTAACAATTTTTTGGTCACACTTCTACGATGAAGTAATAATCACTTACACCAATCTCTTCAATTGAAAATTGCACTGTCCATCAATTGTCACTTTTGGCGTGGCCCAAAAAAAGGAAGAAAGAGCGATTTTCCCACGTTTTCAATTCGTGACAAAAGTGACAGCTGATCGCCAGTACAATTACTAATGGAGGAGACTGGCGTAAGTGGTTAGTAATTCATCGTAAAAGTGCACAAAAAAATTCTTAAAAATATTACAAATATTTTCAAAGAGCTTTTTTTCGTACAATGGTCTTGTTGCGGTGTGCCATTTGCTGTCGCCATTTGCCATGGTAATTATACATAATTCATATCTCCTCTATTGAAATCATTCCTTAATATTAATTGAAAACGCTCTTCCAAAATGTTCACACTTTTTTTTCAATCTAAATTCAGAATTTTCGGGTATCCCTGAGTATCGGGCCATCGAGTTGAAATTTCGAGATTAAAATGGAACAAAAAATCAATTTAGATAACTTTCGGCAGATGATGAAGTCGGGTTCTAGTTTGTTAAAGAAGAAACTATTTTTCTCAATTTTATGTATTTTGTTTCATGTACTTTGACAATTTATGATGAAATTTCATGCTCTAGATAATCACTCCGTAAAGGAAGATTGCATGTTTACAAATCCTATTTATAACATTTCATGTATTCAATTTACAGTGGTCAAAAGTTCAATCAGCCAAGTTTGCTATTCTCGAACACCAAATGGATCCCAGTAGTAATTTCAGCAGCTATCGTAGTACATTAAAGGCAGCCATGTGGCGGAGTGTGGGAGCCACAGACGAGAGACAACGAATTGTGGTTCCTTTCTTCAGTCTTCTCGTGAAGGACCTTTATTTTCTCAACGAAGGGTGCAGCAATAAGTACGTAATCAATACTCAACTTTCCTTCTCATCGAATTCGATATGAGAAATGTTTACACAGTCTGAGAGACCTTCCCGAATCCCCCCCTCCCTTCAGACATTTTTCCCTTTCAACTAAAATCAACAGAATGCAAAAGACGACGTTTTTTTCTCCATTTGTAGACTTCCAAATGGCCACATCAACTTTGAAAAATTCTGGCAGCTAGCCAAGCAGGTGACGGAATTCATTGCCTGGAAACAAGTGACATGTCCATTTGAAAAGAATTCTCGGGTCATAGCATTTCTCCAAGCGAGTCCTGTTTTAACAGAAAATGGTAAGAAAATTGCTTTCTAAACTTTTATGCTTAACCCTTCCATTTTCCGCTTCTGGCTCTCCAATTGTTTTTTTATATTATAGTGAAGTACTTCACTTTTATTACGGAGAACTTTTATTAGTGATATACGCTCACTTCCTACTCCGCACTGGACGATTCTTCCAGTTCATTTAGAGCTGAGAGAAATAATGAAATTCTGATGGTAAAATTGTTTCAGCTCTCTCGTTGGCATCGTTCGAGTGCGAACCACCGGATAGTAACCCGGAGAAGGAACGTTTTAAGAGTCTGAAGTAAGTGCTAATTAAATCTCCCACTGTGAAAATTTTTATTAATAATTACGGCTACAGTGAAGGGGTGAATTTTTTAAAATTATGTATTTATTTGAAGAATGAAACGATTTAGAGGATAATTTGGTGCTACAGCTTTTCAACTACGACATTAACTTACTTTATTGCATTTGCTAAATTTCAATTTTTCAATCAATTGGTTAAATTCTGGATGGATGTTACACAGTGATGGATAAACTCTACTCAACTTGATTCATTGCCTCAATGCACATCGCAATAAACAAGTTAAAAATTACTTTCATTGCAATATAGTCAATATATTTTTTTCTTACTAATAAATTAGCTATTTGCTTTTGAATGGAATTTCTAGGGGAGAGTGGAGCAAAATGAAATATCCGAAAACCGGCTATTTGACGCAATTCAAGCAAAAGCAAACTTTTTTTTATCAACTTTTGTTTATTAACTTTTTTTATTACTGGCTCAACGGGCGCTTCGCGCCAGTCGCCAGATTAAATTATACTACTTCATGTTATTTTATGTTATTTCCATTTTTCTCTTCACAATTAGATTAATTTAATTTCATCCATACTTATTGTTATTATATATATATACACATTTTTCCTTCACTCACAACAAGAGTGTTATGATCTAATTTTAACGAGAAGAAATTAAAAAAATGTAAAAGAACGTAGGCGGGAAAAAATAAAAAAATTAATTTTTCAATGGCTCCGGAATAATGGAAGAATACCCATAAATTCAATTTCTATCCTGGTCTTTTCATAGAATGAATAAAATAAACGACAGAAATTGAGAATTGGAGACTAAAAATTTTATCGGATTATTATTATGTAATAATCAGCAGTACGCAGCAGTACTCCCGAGAATAAAAACAAGTTAATAAACAAAAGTTGTTAAAAAAACTTTTAATAAAGAAAATTTAATTTAAAAAATTTAATAAAAAAAATGTTTTTCGCTTGAATTGCGTCAACAGTCATTTTTCAACTGTTTCATTTTGCCCCATGTTCCATTTTGCCGCACTGTTTCATTATGTCCCAGTCTCCGCTACGACGATATATTTCAAATTGAAGTCAATGATTCCCTGCATTCAACATTGGCGCACCGTTAAAACTTTTTACCTTTCCCTGAATATTGGTTTTAAAATAATTTTTTCCAACAACAGATGATGTCTGTTGTTGAAAATCAATCTCACGATCGAATTCGGTCAAGATGGCATTTGGAAGAATACGGTAAATCACAATTGAATTCATTTAAACAATTATTTTTTCAGTTATCGTCGAAAAACGATCGGCCACATACACACACATACATACATATATTCGGACATTGTCTAAAAATAACACATTCGAACTCCTGAAACCGAAATTAGTTATCCTGACACAAAACATTGGAAATTTCAGATTTGACGAATACAATCTTTCCATTCGGAGGCAATAATATTGCACAAAAATGTAAATCTCTTTTTTGCATGCCCGGCGAGCCTTGGAAAACAGATCACCGTCCCCCACGTGCAAGATTGCCTTCCGACCCGACGGCGAGGATGGCAAGTACGTGGGGGAGGGTGATATGTTTTCCATGGCGAGGTGTGTATATTAATTAGCGCGCCACGAAATTGGTGTTTTTCAGGTCCCGTGACACGAAAAAGTCATTTCGTGTATCACCTCTCAAGCCGTTTTGATGAGTTTCGCGAATACGTGCATGAATTTGTGAATACATTCACGGTTTGATCGCAATGCCCAAGTTTTCTCAATGGTTTTTTGAATGTCCACATAACTTAGTGAACCCAAAAATACAGTTCGATTGTTTACGTTTCAAGACATTTGGAGATGGATTTTCTGATGACATCACTTGTAGTCCGCGACGTGAGTGCGCGACGGGTCACGCCCGAGTGCTCCCTTCAGAGGTCATAACTCAATAACTATAAGGGATAGGAATAACAATAATAAGATAAAATATATGTATTTGTGAACGAGGAACATTTTTTATTTGAACCTTTTTGCCTAACTCGAACCGATTCCGCAAAATCGCGTTATAAACAATTAAATTGTTATAAATAAAGAAAACTAACCACATCTCGTAAAAACGGTTAACACATTCGTATTCAGGGATCCCAAAAACATAGTCTGATGATGAAATTCAATGGATCAAAAAATGTACATGGAACCTGTCACAGCGTATGGACTATTGTTGATGTAGGGGAGGGTGGGGTAAAATGGACACTAGACTTTTTTAAAATTATTCATAACTCAGAAACAAATTCCTCAATTGAGCTCAGTTTAGGCTCGTCACAAAGGGAAAGAATTGTTCTATGTATTGGAAAAAAATTATTAAATTTCATCAACATTTCAACCTCTCATTAACATTTAAAAAACAGTCAAAAGTGTCCGTTTTACCCCAACCTCCCCTATTCATTTATATGATTTTGTTTCGAATGTCATTAGTTGAAAAACCATGCATTCAAGAATTTAATTAGAGTTTTCCCGTGGGTGGGAATGTTTTCAGCGAGAATTATCCGTCAGTGATTTTCTGAATCATCACGCATTAATATTATAATTGATTTGTTCTTCATTGTGTTCATAGATCTGAGCTGAATGCCCAGTGAGAATCAACTGCCGAGGACTGTTTATCATAGAAGAGATACTAATTCGTCAGAGTCTCTATAAACACAGACGAATTGACCCACAATTAAAATTTTAATTAGCATAAAGCAAGGATGAACCCAGTGGAATTAGTGGAGTGACGTGAAACCCTATGGAAACAATGGAACTAAATACTAAAAGACTCTAGAACATAATTAATGATAAATCTCATAACGCGCACCACTTAATGAATGGAGAATGGTTCAATTAATTTTAGAGTAGCACATAGAATTATCCTTATTTTTATGTGAGACAGAAACAGTACATGCACAAAAGAATCAATAATGTCATTAAATTTCAACAAATTTTTCCATAATTTACAAGTTTTATTAAGAACCATCTACATTTCTTTTTTGTATATAACATTTTTATATTATATTCTAAGTGATTTCATCTAGTGTAGTAAATTAATTGATTAATTAATATTCAATGTTTGATAGACGAAAATTAAAAGTAGATGATAGATGAGTGTCGTCAGAAATCCAGTCGTTTTTTTTTCATTCTAAAAAATCAATCACAATTGACTAACAGAAAATCCTGGATCCTAGAGGTCCTTTAACATTTTTATCCTGAACTGGTGGGATAGGATCAATGCTGTGTTGATATAGTAGAGCGTAATTGGGACCTTGAATATGACATTTCTGTTAATTATGCAATCATCTGAGGAACCTGTCGTTGCAAGAAGGAATGACGAAAGCTTTCTACAGTTGAAGACATTTCTTACAAGAATGGTCTTATCACATTCCATTCTAAAATTACTCAGTCTATAAATACTTCGAATTACTACGTTTTACCACTTCAATGCAGCATTCAGAATGTTCTCACATATTTTTTTCGCAATGTTTTTCAGAATGAAGACATTCAAGAGGATTATAAAGATACGTTTTTTGATAGCATTTATCAAGATGACGTCTAAAATATTCCTATAGCTCTTCATTTTTGAGGAATTTGCGAATTTCACTGTGTACAATCCATTCCTTTTGTTTGCATGTGTTCAGAGAATATTATTCTGTGATTAAGAACCAAGCAATTTTCGAATTTAATGTTGAAGTATTTTTTACGTCTTTTCATTGAATCGAACGATATTTTAATGTATTTATACTCAAAAGAAAAGACTTGCAACTTTTGTCTTGAATAATTTAATTGATGATAATAATTTCTTCAGTAAATAAAGAAAAATACCTTTAATCACTGCATTTATTTCATTTCTTCCAATTTTTAGATAAAGAAAATTATAAATAGGATAAAAGATGAAAACATTGAAAAACGAATTGAATCTATGAATTTTTCATATTATCGTCTGCATAAGAACTTCGTAAAGGGTGACTACTATGAGTTTTAAAAGTCGCGGGCTATTGGAAAAAGATTTTTCATACATTGAAGATCAATTATGGGCGCGTTTCGCAATCGACTTAGTAGCAGTAGCAGTACTGTAACCCTATCTAATTTCGCTTTACTGCAGCTACGGTAGTTGATTCCGAAACGCACCCTATTTATGTCTAAAAACGAATAATTAGTCCAAAAAAATTTATTGTTTATCGTTTGTTTGCCCGCTTAAAATGTGAGAAATACTCCAGGGCCTCTAATTTTTGTGTACAATAATAATTCCGAATTAGTTTTTTGAAATTCAACTCCTATACAGCTAATCTCGTTATTTTCTTAATGAAAAATAGCCCGAGAAGTGTTTCTGAAAGAATCGAGAATATATTTTAAATATTTTAAGGATAATTTTTCTGCCTATTTTACATGAATGACGCAAATTTTAATATTAAACAAAACGAAATTAGCTGTGTAGGAGTCGAATTTCAAGAAACTAATTCGTAATTGTTATTGACGCATTTTATCAAAAATTAATTTTAAAAAATCCTCTGTAGGTAAAAAATTGGAGGCTCTGGAATGTTTTTTACATTGTAAGCGTCTGTGGGGCAAATGAACAATAAACAATTATTTTTTTGCACTAATTTCATCATTTTAGACATAGATTTGGATCTTCAATGCATGCGAAATCTCACTCCAATAGCCCACGACTTTTAAAACTCAAAGTAATAAGTCCCCTAAATAACAAAATGCCACAAACGAAACTAATTGTCAGCTATAATACCCCAAGACCTTCAATATTATTGATTATTTCCCCATCACTCTTCAGAACGTCCCGTGGTCTTCTTCTTCTTCTTCTTTTTTATGGCTCTAGCTGCTTTGGCTATTTGGCCGTTATCCCACTAGGGGACGTTGCAAAAACAAGGGGGAGGGTATGTCGGTAAGGTAGAAATGGAAAGGAACATAGGTAGATAATTTGACTGAGGTTTAAAGGGGGAAAAGCGAGAGCTAAATTTGAAGACCGGTTTTTTTTATAAAATTGTATAGAATGTAANATCCCACTAGGGGACGTTGCAAAAACAAGGGGGAGGGTATGTCGGTAAGGTAGAAATGGAAAGGAACATAGGTAGATAATTTGACTGAGGTTTAAAGGGGGAAAAGCGAGAGCTAAATTCGAAGACCGTTTTTTTTTATAAAATTGTATAGAATGTAGACAATTTTTGCATCAGGGGAGGAGATTAATTCGTTTATATTGTATTTTTTTAATTTAAGTTTTTTGAGAGCTTTGATGAGAGTGACTCGTTCCTTTGGTATAATGGACAGAGCCAAAAAATGTGGGTGAGAGTTTGGGATTTGTTACATTCACAAAAAGGGGAATTGATAATTTTTTTGCTGGCAAGGCTTTCGTTGAGATTGAAGTGGTTAGATCTCATTCTAGAGATTGTGGTGATTTGGGGAAGGTCGATTTTTAGGTCTTGATATCATGGACGGTGCCAACCTCTGTAGAAATGTTTGAAGTAATGATTACCTTTGTTATTGTCTCGTTTTCTGAGGATACGAGATGTGGCTAATTTCATTTGATTGTTTATAGTTTCTTTGAAATCTGAAGAAGGAAGAGAGGCATCTTGGAGGGCTCCAGAGGAGATCGCCTCTTTAGCTCGTGTGTCAACCTCTTCATTACCGTGGATGTTTTTGTGGGAAGGGATCCAAGCGAAAATGATCTCAACACCTTGAACCTTGAGGTCATGCCACTTGTCTAAGATTTCGTAAGTTAAATAGGATTTGGTATTTTTAGGAGAGAAATGTGAAAGGGAAAGTAGTACACTTAGTGAATCAGAGAGGATTAGAAATTTGGGGTGGTTGAGATGTGAGATAGAGCGGAGGGCAGTGAGAATTGCCAAACCCTCAGCTGTGAAAATGGTTGCGAATGAGGAGATTTTATGAAGAACTTCGAAGTCAAGGGAGGGAATGAAGACAGCGTAGCCTACATAATCCCCCACATTTGTCTTCGAACCATCGGTGTATATTTGAATATGATCCTGTAGATTTTGTTCAGTTATGAGTTCTTGGAGTTTCACTTCAGGGCAATCCGCTGATTTAGCTGCTACGCCCATTTCAATATTTATAGTAGGTTTGTGGTTTATGAGTTCAAATGAGTAGTTATAAGGGGTAGGCAGAGGATTCGAGTTGATTATGGTTTTGTGAATTTGTAATTTTATGAAGGAGCGATATATTGGGAAGTCTGATTTAATATTGTGGATATTACTGGTTTTTCTTTGGAGAATATATTGAAGGGTGTACAGTTTATCAAGGAGAATGTGTTCTGAAAGGGAAAAAGTCCTGATTATAAATCTATCAGACAGTTGAGATATGCGTATTTTTAGGAGAGGTTCACAGATTTCTGCCAGCATTACATTTATTGGGGTTGAGTTGCGAAAACCCAGTGCAAGACGGAGGGCTTTATATTGGAGTTTTTCAATTTTGTTAAAGTCAGAGGTGTTGCTAGATCGAAGAATATGACTACCGTATTCAATAGAGCTCCTCATAAGGCCTCGATAAAAGGAAATGAGAACTCTTGGGTCAGCTCCAAACCAGGTAGAGCGAAGAGATTTAATCATTGAAATGATTCTATTGTTTTTTACGAATAAGTTATGCAGATGGTTCTTAAAAGTTAGTTTATAATCGAGTTCGACACCCAGAAATCTAGCTGATCTTTCGGCGGTAACTATGTGGTTATTAATGGAGATGTGGAAGTCTTCTGGTTTGAATATTTTTGTGGAAAAAATTATTAAGTGGGATTTTTCGGGGGATATCTCTAGGTTTTTAGATTGTAGGTGGTTGGAGACTCGTGAGACGGCTTCTTCAATTTTGTTTAATGAGGTGGGGAGGTTGGAACTACGATGAAGGATTGCTAAGTCATCAGCAAATGCGACAATTTCAGCGCCAAGGTCGTCTAAATTCGGTAGATTGGAGAGGTAGATATTAATACGAATGGGGCTAAGGACAGAGCCTTGTCCCGTTCCTTTATTCATTGGGAAAGGACCCTCAAGGTTTCCTTGTATTACGAAATAAGATTGTCTATATGCTAGGAGAAAGTAAATGAAGTTTGCAATTTTTTGAGGAATTCCTAATCTGGCTAGGTCTTCATAAAGGGAGTTGGGGTCAACATTATCAAAAGCCTCTTTGATATCTAGGAAGATTGTGGGGGTAAATTGTCGTTTTGCGAAACCTGTGAAGATTTCGGTTGTGAGAATAGCTAGGTTGTCAGCACAAGATTTTAGTTTACGGAAACCATATTGATAGGTAGGAAGGATATTTTGAGTTTCCAACCACCACGTGAGTCTATTTGAAACTATTTTCTCGCAGAGTTTCAGAAAACATGAAGCAAGAGCAATAGGTCTGAATTTGTTTGGGACATTTTTTGGAAGGAGAAAAACAAGGAATTGGCGCCACGAATCAGGAAATTGTCCTTTAGAAAGCAATTTGTTGAAAATATTAAGAATTGATTCTTTGTAAGCTACAGGGAGTTTGTTATTAATGAATAGTCTATTCTATCTAAACCTGGGGAAGATATTTTTTTACAGGATAGAAGGGCGTGATCGAATTCATTTTGGGAGAATTCTTTTTCAAGAAATTCATTGGGTTGAAATGGGAGTAGGGGAGGAGGGGGTGGGGAGTAGTCTTGTGGGAGATCAGGACAGAAATCACTAATGAAATCTCTCATTCTTGTGGCAGTTGCGATATCTTGGGGGGAGGTTAAATTTGGGTTATAGGAGTTTTTATTTTTGAAACTTTTGATTCTTTGCCAGACCTTAGCTAGTGGAGTAGATCTGTCCAAGGACGAACAGAAAAGTCTCCATCCGTTTAGTTTTTCACTTCTAAGGATTAGTTTGGTCGCGGCAACTTGTTTTTTCAGGGCAACATAGTTTGGATATCCTGGGAATTTTCTGAAGGTGGATGTGGCTTTCCTTCGAAGTGCTACAGCTCTGGAGCATTTTTCATTCCACCAGGGAGCTGGTGGTGTCATCTTTTTATTTGAGTTTTTAGGAGAGGATTGGGAGAGGCGAGGATTCGAGGGAGGTGATGAAGCTTGAACTGCGTCCATAATAGTGGAGATAATTTTTTCATATTTTTGAGGGGTGTCCATGTCATCGGGGAAGTCTTTAATTTTTTCCGATTTCGAGAGGAGGTATTCGTCGAAAGCCATCCAATTAATTTTTGACGTTTTGATTCTATGAGAGAAGAAGGAGCATCTTTCCGGAGGTGAATTAAGGGTAATGCTAATAGGATTGTGATCGCTGCCCATGCGATCCGGAAGTACTTTCCACTTAGATTGCATGGCAATGTGGGAAGATGTTAAGGTGAGGTCAACTGCAGAAGGGAGCTCGCCAGGACGACTGAGTCTCGTGACAGAGCCGTCATTGAGAAGATGTAGGTTAGAGTTAGCAAGAGTTTCGAGAATCTCAAAACCCACGGGACCATCTCTGCCACAGCCCCACATGGTCGAGTGTGAATTAAAGTCTCCACCGATCACGGTGGCATACACACCTGGTGAGTGGGAGAATAAGTCAGTCCATTCTTCAGCGGATACAAAAACATTTGGTTTCTTATGTAAGGAGTAGATAGCTATATCTCCCTTTGGTGATGGTATAGTCACTCCCAGGAGACACAGATTTTGGAAAATATGATCTAAGTTGGGGATGATATTGTATGGAATGTTATCTCTAAGGGCGATGACAACGCCCCCTCCCTGCTGATTCTCCACATCGTTCCTGAAGATAGTGAAGTTGGGGATTTGATAATCAGGTTGATAAGGTTTAAGCCAAGACTCTGAGATAAGAAGGACATCATAATGGTTGATGATGTTGCGTAGGTCACCTGTTTTTGGCCTCAGGCTCTGTGCATTCCATTGTAGAATGTGAAGAGGAGGCCCACTAGGGGGATCCATTATATATTGGATTGGGGAGATTGAGGGACGGGAGGTTGAGAGGTGGTTTGGGAGGGTACGGTGAGTACCTCGGGGGGGATAGAAGAGGGTGGAATGGGAGATGGAAGATCAGCCAGATTGTTGAGTTGAGAAAGTTGATTAAGCAATCCTAAGGATTTAAGAATAGGGGTGAGATTGTTTATTATGAGGTTGATAACATTGGTCAGATTCAGTATAATGTTTTTGATGTTGTTTAGGTTAAAGTTAGGGAGTTGCTGAGGGACAGGGTGTTGGGGGATTTGAGTCGGTGGTTGAGACGAGGAAGCCATTAAGGGTACATCAGAAGAACTCTGTTTATTCATGAGATTATTGAGATTAGTGTAGGAAGCCCCATTGGGAGAGACAAGGACATCCTTGTGCGGAATGTTATGGGGGATTGGAGGACGTCTGGTGATGGGTTGAGAGGAGTTGAGTTGTTGTCTATTATTGGATTGATTGAAGCTAAAGTTAGGGTAGAAAAGATTTTGGGAGGTAGGTGAATCAACAGGAGCTGTTGAGAGTTTAAGGGATTTTCGTGAGCAACGTTTTGTAGCATTGGAAAAGGGCTTATTAAGGGGAGAAGGTGAGGGGAGTGGGGCCTGAATGTTTTCGGGAGACATTTGCTCAGAAGTCGGTAGGTTTGACGGAAGTCCAAGGGCGGGATAATTGGTGGAGTTCATGTCTGGAGGGGAAGGAGTAAATGAGCTCAGTTGGGTAGGGATGTTACCATCCATGATATCTCTTGCTTCTGCATAGGAGACTCCATTGGCTGCAGCATATTTGTGGATTGTTCGTTGTCTGGAGAGTTCTGGACAACTGTTGTGAGTGGAAATGTGCTTACCTTGGCAGTTTATACATTTTGGATCTTTCTCTGGGCATGGCGTTTGATCTCCATGATCTTCTTGCCCGCAGTGAGAGCATGTTTTCTTGTTGTTACAGAATTTGTGGGTATGCCCAAATCGAAGACAATTAGTGCAGCGTTTGACTGGTGAGGTGTAAGGATGGACTGGGAAACGGAGATTATAAAGAGTGACGTCGGTAGGGAGGATTTGTCCTTCGAATTTGAGGAGGATACTAAGAGATGGAGAGGATACCCCAGATTTGTCTGGATTGCGAATGAATCGTTGGCAGCGTGAGACCTCAAGAATATTGACACCAGAGTGGATATATTTTTTGATCTCTTCATCGGTGAAGTCAAGGGGAACATTTTTGATAATGCCTTGGCGAATAATTGAGAATTGAGGGATGTAGGCAATTATTTTGTAAAGTTTTAGTGAAGGGTGGTCCATTATCGTATGGGCTTGTTCACGAGTGGAGAAAGTGATACGAATAGATTGACCAATTTTCTTGGCAGTGGTTTGACTCGATAAGATATTTGCTTCTTCGAAGATTTTTGTGATGACTCTTGCTAATTTGACATCGGTGAGGTGTACAGCGTCAGGCTGATTGTAATCAGCCTGGAACATCTCATCAAACCCTTTGTTAGTAGCATGGAGGGGAAATCTGTTTTTTAATACTTCGGGGTGGATGTGAGGCAGAGGACGTCTCTTGGGGGAAGGATTTTTCGAGATATTGTTGGGTGTTTGTGTTTATGGTGTAATTGGGGTAGTTGATGGGGAATGAGTCGTATTTTCAGATTGGGTGTAAGCAGGAGACACATGAAACTGTTTAGGGGACCTCCCCAAGGTTAGCTCCTCAGAAGAGTTATCATCAAGTCCCTCAGAATTTTTGCGCTTTCTAAGAAGTTCATTGGCATCGATTTCCATGGAGGATTGCTTTTGGGATAGGGGGTCTGCTAGATTGGATGGAGAACTCAATGTAGGATAGGTTATGGTTTCATCTCGAGAAGCCATCGATTGAGCTTTTAGAATATCCACTGTCATAGAGGGGTCAATTGGAATGTTTTTTTCAACGCAATCTCGTCTATATTCATCCATAAGAGCAGTCTCGATTAGCTCTTTTGCTGGTTAGGTGAGGGAGGATAGCTCAAGGAAAGAGAATCAAGGAATGGATCATTGAGTACATCGAGGAGACCAGATTTGGATGGTGAGGTAGTTGGATCGAGTATGATCTCATCTTCGTGATCAGAATAGGTATGTTGAGGATTCATTGTGAAATTATTAAATGAAGATAAAGGAGGATAGAAAGAGAGTAATGTGAGGGATGGTAGGAAAGCATGAGTTTAAGTGAAAATGGAGGAAGAGGGAAGGCAAGATGGCGACCCACGCTAGTGGGTACGCCAGCAAAGGAAGGGTGGAATGCCTTGTTTTGCACGAAAATTTTAGATGCAACCAAGATACAGTTTTTAGCACTAAATTATTAGATAAAGCATGTGCAGTAAAGAAGAGAAAATTAAACACAAGAGAAAACGAAACAGAATAGATCACTATATAACAGATAAAGCACAGGGCAAGAAAAGACGTCTCGGCACTATGGTAGCTGTAAAGCCTCGTTCAACTGCAACTCCGTCCCGTGGTCCAATCAGAACAGAATTATATCATGAATACCCCGTCTTTCGGTAATTTTCCCGTTACCAAGCAGAATAACAAAAAATTGTCGAATTTACCACGATAACGCCGAATACCACAATTCTATTTATCGAAATGGTGATGGGGGAAATAATCCGCCGAATACCCTTCGAGCTTGAAAATGAATAGGATTATTCCCCGATCATTTTGAAGCTCTCGAGGTATTATAACCGAATATTTCCCGAATGTTTTGTTGCATAGCAACGAGCGAGATCAGTTTTGCAGATTAAAATCCCGCGCTGCGTGCTCGGGAAAAAAAACTATCATTATATTTTACTGAAAAAAATTATTATTATTTCAAATAATTGATTTTTCAGTTTTATAATTATTAGTATTATTATTCTTATTATTATTAATATTACAGGTATATATATACCTGTATAACCTGCGCGCTTGGGATTTTAGTCTGCAAAACTGATCCCGATCGTTGAAACGCAGGAAACTTGAGGGAAATATCCGATGAATTTTGAAGGTCGAGGGTTATTCGGACGACAATTTCTTCAATTCTGATTTTGGCCGATCAGGGTGCAGTGTTCGGGATTACGGGACACATTTCACGAAAATCTGAGGGATATCTGTCAAATTCGTAGAAAACAATTGACAGGCTAGAGGGAAATTATCAGTCTGAAAATTTCCCTTCAGCCGGGAAAATTATCAGTGTGAAACGCGTCACGTGACCCCGAATACTGCACTCTGATAAGTCAAAATCAGAATTGAGGAAATTGTCAGTATTATTTCGATGATGCAAGAGATTGCGATAATTCGAGTGATAATCCTAGAAAATCGAGACTTCTCAGTAGGCTTTGGTTTATTGAAGAATTATTTCGGCAATGAAAAACGTACCACGCAGGAAAAAATCGTATAGAAATTTTCTATACGGATTGCGTATAGAATTTTCGTATATGATATCCGGATATTTCTATACGGATATTTTTTACACAAATTATTTCTATACGATTTCTATAGGTTTGATCCTATACGACCCACTGCCACATCTATAGAAACATTTCGTATGGAGTTGCAACATTTCTCTACGTTTTTCTCTGGAGCGTTAGACATCTTTCGTATGAAAACAAACATTTATGAAAAAATTTATGTCTAGAAATAATTCGTATAGAAAATATTCGTATAGAAATATCCGAATATCATATACGGAAATCCTATAGAATTTCTATACGATTTTTTCAGACGTGAAGGAGAGATAAATCGAATTTTTTTGAAGGAAACTCTTTCAGGTGGAGAAATTATTTTCTGACATTTTATCCCGAAATCACTCATTGTAAAATCGTGAAAATTTCTAAATATACAGTTGCATTAGAGTTAAAAGGGCGTAAGTGGTGGTTTGGTTTTTACAGCGGCAAGATACGGAGAGAAATATTCAATAAAAATTACGTATCGTTTCCGTATTTCCGGAGCGAAATGTGGTTGTAGGAAATTTTACGGAACTGTCACGGAATTTTTCCGGAGCGTTCCGTAATTTTTATCTGAATCTCTTGTGAAAAATTACGATATCGTCACTCAAATTTTTTGAGGCGATTCCGTAATCGGTGAGTGAACTGACAGTTCCGTAATTTTTACTGAACATTTCTCTCCGTGGATAACTCATCTGACTTTTTTTTCCCGAAAGGGACGTAACTTACCCAACGTTGGTAACAATCAAATCTTTGTTATCACGGTGATAATTCTTCCATCTGCACATCAGTTATAGGTTCAGGTTAAATTAGATCGATTAGAATTATACACCATATAACCTCCGAAAAAGCCAAACAATACTGCAAGACCTGAATTGACATTGGAAAAGATAATAATGTAAAGAACAAAAACTCTGAGATTCACAAACATTTGTTGTTAACGATTAATGGTTATTCAATCGAACAATGGAGACTAAAAACATTGAAAGATTGAGACATTACACAGTGCTAGAAAATAGTGATGTAAATCATAAGTTTTTGACTCTGGATGAAGGAAATGATCAGGAGAGTGTTATTCCTCTAAACGAGAGTGATTCGGAAGGTATTTGCAGGGTCTGTGCTAATTCCAATAGTCATTTAGTGCCTATTTTTGAGGGGCAAGGGCTTCAGCTTGATTTAGTGACGAAGATGCATAAGTATTTACCTATTCAAGTGACAGAAAATGACACTTTATCCACGCAATTGTGTTATCACTGTACAATTACAATTATTGCTTTCAACGATATCGTGGAAGGGTGCTTGGAGGCCGAGCAGAAGCTTATCCAGTTGCAAGAGGACAAAATTCAAAAAATCTCAGAGGTAACTTTCTTTTGGCTTGAGGATATTCAAGTGCTTTGGTTATTTTGCTTCCGAAGGGAGCAACCTTGTTTTTGACCAATTTTTCGATTTTCTAATTTTTATTCCAAATGGTTTAGAATGTTACGAAACGTGAAGTAATGTTTTTAGGGTCATATCTGTATGTATGGTTACATGACGATTCATCACCCGACAATTCACCACACCGACAATTCATCACATAACAAATCAACACAGAGCCTCCAGTTCCCAATGGTTCCCAATGGGTCTCCACCTTTCTTACCAAGTTGGGACTAGGTTGCCAGTTTGTGAATTTAAACTCTTTGGTTCAACACAATATAATAATATGGTTGACCAGGTAGATGTCCGGGACCTCCCTTTTTCTCCACCTTCCTTCTAAAGGCAATCAATTTTTAAAATTAATTTAAATATAAGTACTTCTATAAATTCACGAGCATGGTAAGGCAATTACATTTACACCTTACTAGCTCTTAGCGTTACCCAGGACCCACGACGAGGACGTGGCTGGGATCGGATCCCAAAAAAGGACCACAATATAATTTGACTTTGAGCTATGACGTAATTGTACTGTGTTGTTTTTGTACAGTGTTATTTAGTCGTGTAACCGTATGTATGTATCTGATAATTTGAGTTGTTGGTGATTAATTTTTAGAAAATTCAACAGAAATTTTTTATCTTTCTATCTGTTTTAAGTTTTTACATAAAAATCGGAAATTTTGGCTCATTGTAGCTATTATTAAGCTCAACTTTGGCGCCCTGTTTCAGTCTGATCGGTCCAGTAGCTCCTGAGATATAACAACTTGTTTAAATTTCGTTTTTCCTCAATATCTCAAAAGCTACTCCACCGATTTCAAATTTTTATTTTCAAAATATTCGTCGCAATGGCCTCTATGTAGGTCAATCAGAATATATCGACTTTTTTAATATACAGTTTGGAGATATTGCCGTTTTTCCGTTTTTCATGAAAAATCTTGTACGCACGATAACTTGAGAATATAATACAAGTATCATGACAGAAACCATTTGGCAGATTACATATTGCTGCTACGTATTTTTTCCTCCTATCTTCATTTCTACTAATTTCATTGGTAGTAGGCTTCCGAATGGATCTCAATCTAGCTTTTTGAAAAATGAATACATAAGGATTACCATCAATTCCCTCAATTTTCCTGGACACTCCTAGACTTTCCTACAAATTTCTATCAGTTCCGTGAGTGACAATCCTAACTACAACTCAAAGTTTCAAAAGATTTCCCTGAGTTTTACCCATGTCATAATGCGCAAAAGTGAATTCCAACCAAAAAAATAGACAAACGCAAATATCTCTAAACTTTTCAATTGGATGGTACACATATTTTGTCAGATCTAGATAGATGACATCAAGACGGACATTTAAAAAAAAACAAATGAAATCGGACCAGTAGTTTTTAAGATATCGAGCAAAAGAGTTTCACATACAAAGTTGAATATCTCCGAAACTAATGGTCCGATTCCGTTCATTTACAATCCCAAACGGTGTTATCATGAGACATAAAATCATACTAAGTTTCAAGGTTCTGTCTCAATGATTTTTTAATTTATCATGCATACAAGCAATTTCAGGGAAAAAATGAAAAATCGAGTATAAAACTACATTGCTCGGGGTGGAATGGTCTTTTTTCGATCCAATTGAATAGATATCATCATGACGAGTATTTTGAAAAAAAAATTGGAATCCGTGGCATAGTTAAGGAGATATCGGCAAAAAACGTTTTTTGAGGAATCGCTATATCTCAGGGACCGCTCCACCGATCGAGCTGAAATTTAACACAAATTTGACTATCAGTAATACCAATTAGCAGCCAGAATTTCAGCGTCTTTGCGTTCATCATTCTTGAGTTATCGGGACAGTTCTGGACAACCGGACGTAAATGTGCACCCACACACAGACATTTTTTTAAAACAATTTCTTCACGTTTCATGACATTTCTAGGCATTTATACCGAAAATTAGGAAATGGAAAAAAATCATGATTACAAGGCTTCCATTCGGAAGCAAAAATAGAGATAGCAAGTTAAAATTTGGTATGATTATAGCTCTTATTGTATAAATATTTTTCATTAAAAGGTTGAATATTTTCCCGTAGACACCCGGTAGCATGTGGTTATGGTTGTATGCCTGTCACAAGGATAAGGAATTGCTACGGATCCATTCGGAAGCTTACTACCAATGGAATTGATAGAAATAAAAAAAATAAAAAACTAAGGACACAAAAAGTAACGGCCGTATGCCTTCTGTCGGATAGGCTCGAACACGTGCTTGTTTTCTCCAGTGAAAAGCTTTTGTACTTTTGTACTCGAACATCAGAGCTTTCATTTGAGCCCCATTCGACCCTACGTGTCCGGACATTTTACAATCATTTTATTATTTAAACTTTGCAGGTCTGAATTTGAATCTCGATATTGAACCGTTAGAAAACATTTTAGAAAATTGAAACAAAATTAGAAAATTTACCTTTGGAGGAAGGTTGACGAAATGATTTAAAAAATACAATTTTTGAAAATGAAAAGTATTTTCTGTAAATAATTTGTAAACAATTAATTTTCCAAGATAAAAATCATTTGTTCGGAATCGTAATAAAATTATTCATAATTAAAATAAATTATTCATAATTTTATTTCAGAATTTTACCAGAAATCAATTTCATGTCTAAAACAAACAGAGTTGCTAGCCTATTCCACAGAAGCAATATGACCGTTACTTTACGCGTCATTAGTCATTTTTCTTCCTCTCTCTACTAATTCTATTGGTAATAAGCTTGGAATGGATCTGTGACAATGGTCCTAGGATAAATATTCCTCTGAAAATCGTTCTTGGAAAATTGTTCCACGAAAAAATGTTTCCCATGTTTTCTTTTTCCACGCCGATTCCCGTTTTCATCGTTATTTCATCAAATATTACATAATATAAAATGGAGAACAACACAAATTTTTATTATATCATTTTTTAAGTTATTTTGTGGGCTTATTCTCAAGTTGTGTGAAGACGGATTCTTGTGTGAATGTGTCTCCGTTCATGGATCCTTTATAGAATTACCATGTGCAATCCGTAAACAAAGCCTCCTTCAAACCCAAATCCGTCTTCACACAAGTCGAGAATGAGCCCCTAGAGGCGAAAATAGTCGATAAGATGACGATGTGTGACTTGTTAGAAAAAAAATTGTTGGATGAATTGCTCTATACCAGGATATATTAAATCGATCATCACAACATTTTATACACATGTATGACTCAATAATACTAATTAGTAGCCAGAATCTCAGATGTTTATTTCAAGTTTTACGCGTATTATGGAACGCCACATTGACTCTCAACAGAAAAAATTAGAAGAGCGCGAATATCTGGAAAATCTTGTATGAACGGATATTCATATTTTGATTGATCTTGATAAGACCCGCAAGACGAGGATTTTGAAAACAAAATAAATTAATCGTTGAATAGAACGATTCTATTCAATAATTGAATAGAAATCCAATAGAACTGTCAAATTTTTTCATGTGTCATTGTAGATTGAATTATATGTTGATTCTTTTCAGGAAAGAAGAGCAGATCTTACATTTGAACAGGCTGAAATTATTAAAGACCCTCAAGAAGATGAAATAGAAATTCAACAGGCGCAGGTAAAATTTTAAAAAATTTCGATCCGAGTTAGGCTGATCCGTCCAATGTTCGTACGAATGTGCATTGTCAAATGTCACTGATTGAGCATCCAAGATTTAGTAATCATACTCTATATAATGTGATATGTCCCCTTCTCGAGGAAACTATAGCAAGTTATAGAACGACATAGAATCTTCTGGAAAAGTCGAGAATCATTTGAAAAAAACCTTCAAAATATTCCTTTTTCATGAAAATTATGAAAAGTTCTTGATAATTGTGGAAATCTTCCAGATCTGTACAGAATCTTCTGGGGAATTCCGCAATCGCCTAGAAAGTTCTCCAATTTGCAACATGTTGATAAAAGTTGAAGCCCAATTATCTGGAAAATCTCGAAAAGTTTTGCTACACGAATGGTAACTGTGAGACGAAATAGTTTTCACTAACGAATACTTTTCGAGAACAATATCTTACGATTATTAAAATTATTGGAATTAATTAATATTTGGAATTGATTAATCATGAGTAATAAGTGCAAAGAAACCTACGCGGCGAAATTTCAATACACTCGTAAACTTTTTGTCATTTCATTATTTTTTTTCAAAGGATACAGCGGAGTCTCGGAACTTTCGATATTTTCACCCATTCCGTAGCCCCAGAATTTACTGCGGAAGTTCCTCAAGATAGTATATACTTGGATTTTGTCCATATTATAACAACTGAGGGCATACCACTAACAAATCAATATATTTAAAATCCGTCTTTGTTTTTTTTGTACAGATTCCAACTGAGTGTAATTTCAGCTCAAATGGTCGAAAATTGGGGCACTAGGGTTTTTTTGTAGATTTTGACTCATTTTGACCCTTTAGAACCTTCCGATAATCTCGAAGCTCGATTTTTTCCCATTTTTTTTCTCCTGCAACACATATCGCGTGTGTTGATCATCCCCTGAGAAAGTGTCGATACGACGGTTTCGCCTAATTTTTTAATAGTAATAAAAAATTGTTAGTAAAATTGAAAAAAAAGGTCTCTGGAAGTTTCAGATGGTGTCAAATGTATGTAAAATGTAAGGATATAACATTCCTTCAGCAAGTGTTCATACGACCTTTTCTGCCACATTTTATTAAAATACAAAAGAGTGTCTATACGATCTTTTAGCCCAACACACGTGATATCAAAAACTTTTACAATCATTTCTATGATACCCAGAGACTTTCAAATTTCACCGCGGTCTCCCCCTGAAGAAAAATTCACCATTCGTATGGCATTTTTCCTTTGATATAGAGTCAAAAATACCGGGAACTGAATTTCGTTTTACGATTACTTGATCTGTTTGGGATTTGTTCTCCAATATTTTTTCTCTGTGCAAGCTTTTGATTTTTTATTATATCTCAAACGATTCTGGAGCTCTTTAGGAATGTTTGAAAAATTTGTGATAAATTTCTGAGCTCACGCGATCCATTTATGGTTGATGTACCCCCAGTTTTTCAGCAGTATTTCATAATATCGCTGGGTTTTCTCGCAGTTATCGTCTAAAAATCCATTTGCACATGAAAAACCTTGTACCGTAGTAAGACGGATCACGACTCACATTAGTAAATTAATTATGGGAACATTTCACAAGGGTCTCATTGATTTGAATTTACAAACAGGATATTAGTTTTTAAACAGGACAAAGGGTTCATTTCACTGCATTATACATTTGTTCCACGATAAATATGTGAATTAGATTGATCACATGTTTAAATATTGGTCGGTCCACCCCAGTAAAAATTTCAATTGTCAATTAAGTAATCATTTAATTACACGTCTTTGTAATACATTTTCTGCAAAGACAGTTTCTTGCGGATGCCTCCTAGAATCAGTCGTTACCTTGTTATTAGCTGCATCAACTGTAACCATTAGACAACTTTTTGTTGTATTATTAATTTCAATCTTGATTTATCCACAGATCGTCGTTGAGCTATCAATCGATAAGGACGGAGAAAACTCGCAAGAGACAGGCTTAGAAAAAACGGAAACAAGCAGGTGAGTTCTCTCGAAAACAAAAAAATGATTGAAATCTGCGAAATTAGAATAGAAATTTGAAACCAAAGAATATTGATGTGATAAAGGAATTCGTTACAAACAACCAAGCCTCCTACTACTGAACAAAAATTACCAAAACCGAAAGATACTCCCCCGAAACCATTCAATACAAACTTCAACTCGAAATCGATTGAAGACATTAACGGAATTTAAGATTTGACCCTTTGAGATCACTCTACGTCAACTGATTCTTTCACTCCTGTTCATTCATACAAGTGTGAATAGACAGTAATAAACTGAGAGATAATGAAAAATTCTCAACTGTGCAGTACATTCAAAAGGACTTACCACTATAAAGACATTCTATAAACACATGAGGATGTTCCATTGAAATTTTGCGCCCCTTCAAAACCCAGTATATATTCAGCGAAGAGACATCTTTGATAAAGAAGAAATCCTTGCGGGGAGATCAAACAATGAAAAGCTTAGAGGATAGTTCAATCTCAAATGAAGAAGAAAAAAATAAATCCGCATATGAGATAGATCAAATGCACAGCTTGAGCTCACACCTTGGATAGCGGAATTTGCTCAGATTTTATCTCTGCACAGATTCAATTCCAAGAGGACGATAAGTGAAGGATTGATTATCCGATGATGACACAAATTATTGGGGAAGCTTGTGTTTCCCTTGATCTTCATAGGAATAAATTAATGATTCACATGAAATCAGTACTAAAAACGAGGATCTATCATTTGTCATGGGGTTGGGGTGGGGAGACGGAGAGGGGGGGGG